TTTTTTTTTTTTTTTTTTTTCCTGGAAGGATATATGCAGTGAACAGTTATAGCAAACCATACTTACGATTGTAGGCCACTTCAATTGTTGTATACCGTTTATTCCGTAAGTCAGTCTTCTTTTTTATTTAGCATCTACTTGCAGGCACAAGGTAGACTGCTGACAAAGTATGGATGTCAGCAGTAGGCAGAGGGTACGCTTGTTCCCATATGTGGCTGTATGCTTACCCCTAAATTAACCCACTGGGTGGATTGGATTTGCTCTTTGGCAAAGAAAATGAGAGTGAAACCAGTCTTGGACTGTACCTATACAACTCCTCCAGTCAAATTTAGATGTGTGCTCAAGTCCCTAAATGCTGGTATAGATGCAGCTCCAAGGAAGGCTTTCTGCCAGCTCCGGTTAATGAAACTTACCATCTTGGCAAATGTTAGTTTGGATCACTTGTCACTGTTTCACGCTCACTTCTGTCACTTTTGCAAACGTGAGCACAAGGGAATATCCCTTAAGAAACTGTGTCTAGCTCAGAACATTACATCATCTTTCCTTAAGCACTGCAGGCCACCACACGTATATCATACCGGTCTTACATTCTCTGCATTCATGTACCAGGTCTTGATCCTTGTGCTTAGGGTATACAGCCTCATAGTCATAGAACAACTACTTAGCCTTCTCTGATAATCAGACACGCATAGCAGCATCTCCACTCAAACAGATCTCTTCAGTGTCCATGAAATGGTTTCTTGGGGAGAGGCTGAAAGAACAAATAGGAATCAGGTAGTAGTGCTAATCAGTGCTCTGCCTGAAGGCAGTCTACTATGGGAAAGGAGACTGTCAAAGACATTGGACTGAACTTTATTTTGGGATGGAATATTCTAGTAGGTAAATTTTGCAAAGCAGCATGTGCTTCTCTATATGCAGAGGATTTGTTCCCTTTTCCCTGGAATTAGAATGACACCAAGCTGATTGACAGGTTTTTAAGGTAGAAAGTGGCACTGTGAGCTCTTCGGCATAGAGCCACAAGACTTGCAGGCCTATAGTAATAACCTGGCCTTGCCAGTGTTCACTTAGCAGAGAGAGTTTTTAACAGCTGCACCTCCTACTTCATTTTGTGACTTTCAAGTCTAGAAGACTCCTAAGACAACATGATTTCTCTTCTGTTCCTTGGAGGAATATTGATCCATGCTTCCTGTAGCTGGTTTCTAAAGCTCTTAGGCCTTTTGTTTTACCCCAAACTTTCCTTCAGCAAGATGCTTGCTGGATTATATTGGGGTTTTTTTCCTAGTCCAAAACACGAAAATACGGAAACATATAAAATCTGTGTTGTTGCACAAATGCTCCATAAACCAAAAGATTGTTAATTTTTGATACAGCAAAAACAACAGAGATGATGAAGCTTATGAATTTTGTATCACCTAGAAATGGAAATTTGTTAAAACTTTCTAGGATTTGAGAAGCAATTTAGCATATCAGATTAAAATTTGGGAATAAAGTCCACTAATTCTAACCACTCTCTTCTACCCATCTTCCATTATACAGGGTTTATGGAAGATGCCAAGCCCTTCGTTTGCAAGGATTGTGTGTACATTGTTATGTGCAGGTTATTCCTTTTGAATTCTCTGAGTTAGGGTTCAGGCCTATGACTAGAAATAGACCCAAAATAATCAAGACAAGATAATGCAAGTGTGGGACAAGAGAGGCAAAACTATGTTTTGAAATAATTTTTCAGTATATTGTTAACTCCAGGTGCTGTGCTTCACGTAAAGAATAGGGGAGAAAAAAAAGATATTTTGGAAAGAGAAATGTGGAGTCATTTTAGGGGGAAGGGGCATCAGCCAATGTGTGACTGATTTGCATGGACAAAGGGAGCTGAAGTAGTTGAACTCTACTAATTACTAATTAAAGACAAGCTACTGGACTGCATAGGTTGGAGAGGTGGATCAAGGAGGTAATCCATATATCATCCAAAATCATCCCTCTTAAAGCTCGGAAGGTGCTTTTGTAAAAATCTGGTCCCCTTTGGATCTCTCCAGGTAAGCTCCCCAAAGCTGCAATGCGCAGGACTGCTGGATGTGTTCCAAAATCCTGGTGGCAGAGAGGGCAGTTGCTTTGTCTTATTTTGCTAAAGTCTGTGTTTCCTCACACATACTGCAGGGATGCTCGTTTCATCTAGTGTGGCCTCACTGCAGCCTGCTCACCAGTGCCACATCCAATGGATCCTACTCTTAACTTTTGAATTCCTGGAAAGCTTTAAGTAACCATCACTACTACTTCAGATAAATCTACCTTAATAAAGTTTCTTCCATTCCTTCCTAAAAATCATACGTTACCTTCCCTTGCTTTCCCATATTTATGCCATATTTCTGTAACGCAACCTGGCTCAAGGGCCATCTTAAAAAATGGTAGAATTCTGGACCAGTACCTGCCCAAATTTAAAAAGTCTAATCTCCTGTCACCGATTACGGATGCCAAATTCACAAAAAGAATTGCATGAGGTCCTCAGGTTGCCCCGTTAGCTTTTGAAGTCAGTGAACTGAAGCCTCTCTGAGGAGACTTTCTATAGCAAGGTTGAGAAAAGGTTTTCACCTTCATTCCTAAGTGTATCTGCTGTTGTTATGAAAGTGGTGACATCTACATGGTCCAATAACTCATTTTTTTCCAAGGCATCTGCAGTGTGAAAGGTATTTAGAGACTGTATATACATAGTGTGAGAAGGAGGTCATACTGGCCTCTAGCTCATTCATTTCCACTTGCAAGCTAATTCAGCTATCCATAACCAGATGTAATTAAAACTGTGTGATGTCACTATGCTATCAGTGTATTTGATTTTACATTGTGCTGTATTTTAATGTAAAACTAATCTTGAATACTCATCTGCCTTTCATCTGTCAGATAGTTTAATTTGTACTCCTGAGAAGGCCTGCTTAAGTCCTAAATGTGTAACATTTATTAGTGTTAAAATATTTATAGCAAACATTCTTTGTTTTTAATATGTTATTAACTTTTTTCAGATAAAAATATGGACTCATGAGGAGGGTGACATGTTGTCACTCAAAGTTGAAATGCAAGTGAAGATACCGTCCCATCTAGCTTTCTCCCTTTTGTCTGACTTCACATTCCGCCAACAATGGGACAAACATTTCTTGTAAGAACTTAGCTTTCTTTAAGACTGTTCAAATCCACTGACAACTAGCCTTTTCTGATACAAATATTTTTGAGATGTTGACACCTAATTAAGAACAAATTTCTGTAAGAAGTTGACATTAAAGATTCATTAGTCAAAGTATGGATTGGGTTTTTTACCTTAAAAATAAAATTTGATTTCTCCTAAGTCTGATTTAAAAATATGGTTGCCCTGGACTGTTGAAAGAGAGAGCTGGGACAGAGGTTACCATTTTCTAAAATGAACAAAATTCCATGCCTAGACAAAGGGATGTTGAAAGGGTTAATCTGAGTAGGTTGCATATAAATAGAGGTCGATACATTGTGCATGCTCTCTGTAAGTCAGGCAAAGCTGTGGACTCCTTCATGTTTGTGTTGTTTGGGACAGTGATGCTCAGCTTTATCATACAGTCAAAGTGAGAAATCAAGAAATGGGGATCTTCAAAATGCATATTTTAAGAAAAATAACATCTTATAAAGTGTATCTGAATTGGAACGGGTTTCAGAATTGCTGTAAAAGGTGTTTGAGGTTTTTTTAATTACGTTATATGGTGTAGAATAATGACTAGAGACAATTGAATTGATACGGTACTAATTTGATTTGGTGAATATTCTCTTAAAGGAGAAGCTTTTTCAGTTAGTCATTCTATCCTGAAAGATTTTTATCAGAGGGTGAAAGTGGAAGCTTAGGGATATTTGAAAATTTACAACCTCTGCTGAGTTCATTGCTGGTAACAAATGAAATCTGAAGAAATATTGTGTTGATTTTCTGTATCTGCAGCCAAAATCTCATATTTCTTATCACTACCATGAAGCCTGATTGGTCAAAATGGAATACCAGCTTCGCAGTGCTTATTGCTGAGGCAGTAGAAGCTGAAATTAAATAAATCAATTACTGCCAGTGTAAAGGAAAATTCTGACTTCTTTTTGTAGCGAAAACGCAAGAGAGAGTGATCAGTACTTCCAAGACAGTGGAAGAGTGTGTCCTACCCAGGTGGCCCTGTCTGAACGGAGTAGAACACAACTTTGAATAAAATTTTACAAATATTTCCTGACTGTCTTTCCTGTGGTGTGTCAGATGGACAATGTTTGGTCATTCAGCCTTGCACGGGATGCAAGCTAATGTCATTCCAAACAGGAATTGACAGTATGCAAAAGATACGCTTTTAAGACATTGCTCCAGCACCTTGCAGCACTTTTTAATAATTTTGTGGGACAGAGAGGTGGTGTCAGATGAGGTGTGCAGAAAACCTTGATTTTTGACTCCGTGTTCCTCTCTCTTCCTTGCTGCCTGAACATGAAAATTGTAGGCCTAATGTTAGGATGGAATATATGTTTATACTGTTGTTTTTTGTAGGAGATGCTATTGCATACATCAGGGTCTGCATGTGTGTGTTAAATATATTTGCAGAACCTGTGAGGTCCTACAGGCTGTGAATGAAGATGAGAAAATATATTATGTTACATCTCCACCCATGACTGGCCACAAACCCAGAGACTTTGTGATTCTTGTGTCTCAAAGGCAGCCCTGTAAGCCAAGGTGAGTATGCAATTTCAAGTTTAACTGTGAGCACTTTGGACCCAGTTTTGCTTACTGTTGACCTTTATCTGGGCCTGTCGTTGGGTGACAAAGATGATACTTTATTTTTTAAGAAATTAGATTAGTAGCTGATGTAAAATACGGTATGTTGATGCCTGAGTTTGCACAACCAGATTTGTTTTGCAGTGTGAAGGCGCAATGAAGTAAATTCAGAGCATCACAGTTCCGTAGCGTAGTCCAGTATTGCTTCTTTGATAGTGACTCTTTGGGAGTGGTCTATCACAAGGGACAATAAGCCAGAATTCCAAACAGGCAATTTGGAAAAAAACATGTCCCAGAGGGCCTGGCAATGTGCTGAAGCACATAACTGGGAGTTTGTTTGTTTTAAGGGACTTTGTAATCCCATTTAATGTAATTCCAGAGATTTTCTTATTCAGGGAAGCCTTTCTTGAAACCTCAGTGTGACACGCTTATTGTATCTATAAATTTTGCTGCTGAATTTGGTTTAAAAAGTCCCTTCATCAGTTTAACATACATTGATTTTTTTTTTCATTAGATTTCTGTTTGTTCTTGCATAAATGAGATAAATGAGACCATTTGGTGTATCTTACCGTTCATTCTGTTTCTTTTCTTATATTCAGTAATTCTTCATGTTAACAGAACATTGCTTCTAAAAGGCTGTATTGTGTACTGTGCTTGCTTTTTTCCCCCCACATCTGGGAACTGAATCATGTCTACCTTTGCTGGGGCCACACTGTAAAGCCTCTTAGTAAGGGTTGCTCCTAGACCCTGATTCTGTAAATGTGGGTTGTGGAGAGCAAGATAAATTAAAAAAAAGGAGATGTTGTATGTGGGTGATTGTTCTGTGGCTTTCCACAGAAGTCTCTTTGATTGGAGTCTGTGATAAAGCCTTAATGAGACTCAAGAGAGCTGAATCTTTTGACATGTATCTTTAAACATACAGGAGCTTGTTTGCCTTCACATGAAAATGACATCTTTGGTATAGCTGTGCATGCTCTGTAGTCATTTATTTTTGTACATCGTACAAGAAGATGTCTTTTTTAACATCTTGTTGAAGAAATCTTTGATTCTTCCCCTTGCCCTGCAGTGAACCCTACACAGTAGCTGTAAAGTCAGTTACCCTCACATCTATGCCACCTTCTCCAGAATACTGCAGAAGTGAAATCCTTTGTGCTGGATTCCAGATCTACAGTGACAGCAACAGCTCCTGTACGGTGAGTAGCTCTGCAGACCTCAGCTTTCCTTTCCTGTAGTATTACATGTGCATATAATCTCACTTGAGCTGACAGTCTAGAACAGTAACAGCAATACAACAAAAAAATGAGTCAGTTTCCCCAGAGTTCAGTGTGGTTATTAAGACATTCTTTACTCCACAAAGTGGAATCTCTCTTGCCCAACTTTGGCCAATCTGAATGTTAAGAAACAAATCTAAACTACGCACTGGAGATGGCTAGGCACCTCCAGAGTCATTCATTCAATCCTAAAATACACTTCTAGAAGGTGTGCATTAAACTGGTCTCTGGTGATGTCCATCTCTTTTCACTGACTACAGAAGTCCAAGCAATCAGTTCAGATTAAACACTTAACTTTCCTATGTCAGAAATTATGCAGTCTGAATCTCATCTCTGGACCAATGACAATGTTCCTCTTTTGTTCTTTTCCATGGAAGGCTTTAACTTTTTCATTTAAGAAAATATATTTCTGAAAACATTCAGCAACTCTCAGTGTCTGGGATTCTTTTTTCAGGCAACAGCTTTGTTCATAAAGCACATATATTTAACAGGTTACACATAATGTTTCTTGCTGCACTGCTGTATACGTTTACCTACATGCTCGAGGACCTGGCAGTAGTGAGGACACCGAGATCACTAAAGTACTGTAAAAAAGGCATGCTCTTTTTGCTAATTATTGCCTTCAGTTTCAGAAGCACTATGTGTTTCTATTCACATCCATAAAAACTTTGATAGCCACCTAGGCTCTGCAAAAAATGGCTAACTATCGCAATCCATAGGCTTTTTTGTTTTATTTATTTTTGTTTAAACAGGTGTGTTACTTCAATAAAGTGACATCAGGTGTTATGCCGTACTTAGCTGCAAATCTTACTGGCTCATCAAAATCCATTGAAGACACTGCTTTGGAATGTATAAAGTTCTTGGAGCTGAAAGGAAGCAAGTACTGAAGTTAAAAACGGGTTTCTGAAGAGCCCTCCAACGACTCTCAAGCAGTACTGGTTTAAATTCCTGCATGTGTGTTGATCATTTTTCTACAGGTTAGGTACTTTGGATCAAGTAGCCAATATTGCACTTGAGCCTGAGAATATCTAGTACAAGCATTTTCTATAAATTAAGATTAGGCCTTAGGCTCTAAATTCAATTTTTAATTTTAAAGAGATTAAAGGACAGATTCTGCTTTTGATTGCATTAATGAATTTTATATAAATGGAGGCAGAACTTGGCCCAGTATAGCTCATGAGACTATTTCACTATTTTAATGTTACATTGAATGTAATGGCGTTCAGCCAGTTTTAAATCAGTAAATACCACCCTGTCTAATTTGCAGAGAAGTGGTGCTACTAAGTAGCCTACCCAGTGTTCTGACCTGGTTGTCCAGGTTCTTGCACACCCATTGTATACAGATTGCACCCTATGTCAGTCAGTGTTTGCTAATGTTTGTATTTTATCTGTTAATACTTGTAGTTTACCCGTGACTTCCAATAAATTATTGTTTCTGAGGTTACAAATCCATGGTAAATTTTATTACAGTATCTCTGGTATGGCTTCAGACATTGTTCCAGAAAGACTGCTTTGTAGTGATGATGGGGGCTGTTGGCCTCCTATGGAAGTGCCATGGCCTCCAGCTGGCAAGCTCTATTCCGCTAGTGTTGAATAAATGCAGAACAGTAAGACTCTTTGATCCACTCCCTCACAGATGAAAAGGGAGAATGGTTTCAGAGGTTTTATTGTGGCGTGTCTACTTTGTTTTCTGCTCTTATTTTTGCTCAAAAGAGCCTTGTTCAGAAAAACGAGCATGATCATCAGCAGTTAGATCATAATGTGAATGCAGGGGTGTTAAGAGAATCAAAGCATCCGAACGGTTGCAGTGCCCTTTTATCTTACTGTAGTCTCATAATTGGTAGAGCAAGAGCTCTAGGGGTCTGGTCCGGTTCCCACTTCAGTAAATACATCTTCAATTTAACCTATAACCAAATCAAAGCTTTCATCAGTGATTTATAGGTTACAGCATGCCTGCACATTTTGCATATGGCACATCTACCAAGTGCAGCAGAAGAGACACCAGCTGGAGTCCCGGAAGCCCTCTGGGTACGCTAGCACTGTGAGTCACCTGGCCTCTCAACGAGGCTCATTTAGCTTGGGTACAGCCTTGAACCAAAGCATTAGTGAAACCAGCCGCTGTCTTCTACGTCTAGCTTCTATGGCTGGCCACTGTATGCCGTACAACGCAGGGGTACCTTTGCACTAGTAATAAAAAAAATAAAGCAGCTCTTGGCCTTTGGTTCTGGAGGAGAGACTATAGAACCAGATCCTGATTTTGGATGGCCATTTTTATCACATGGGTGAGGTGCATTACCTCAGTCTAGGGAGTGAGGGCAGCAGCCTCAGGGCAGCCCCCTCCAGAGCATGAAAACCACTGAGCCCCTGCTTGCTTAAACTCTAATTATTTGCCTAACTTCTAAATTTATTTGTGGGTACGATGCATCTTTACATGCAGCACCTTTTACAGCTGCTTTTTGAATAGCTTTCTTCAACTACACATACCTTTGTGAAATCATCTAAAAGGAGGTTAGTGGGTGCATTTAACAAGTAGTTTTGCCCAACAGTTACTGAAGATTGCTAACCTGTGCAGCTGTTTTAGAGAGTTAAGTGCAAGCACTTCAGTGCCTCATTTTCCTCAGCAGTCACTGAAGCAGAGGACAAGGGGGAGGTGTATGTGCTTCCAGCCCCATGCAAGCATGTGTGATTACCTGAAAACAGCTGTTGCCTTTATACTGAAATTCTCACAGAGACCGTACTCTGCGATTTTCTAAGTCAGTCCATTGTTTCTTCTCAGAGGACAACAGAGCAATCGTCAGGTGTAGGAGCCTGACGAGTGTTTTTATAGTGCAAGATGGATCAAAGCAACAGGTATGAAACTCAAGGTTGTCTTACCCAGTGATGGTTAGGCTCACTGACCTCCAGAGGAGTGCTACAAGGAGGACTGCATCACTGCACTGAAGAGAAGGCTGGGCTCAGAAGGCAGGCGAGCTGGATACCAGCATGCCTTGCTTGTGCTCCACCATTTTGAGAACAAAGGTTCATCCACCGCTTCTTGCGGGATTTCTTTTGCCGCAACTGTCCTCTCTCTCACTCATCCTGTTTTTAGCAGTCCGTTTTGCCAAACAGAAGTGACAGTGATCAGCTGTGGGAAGGGAACAGTGAAATTTCTTTTCCTTCAACTTACACATCATGCACCATGTAACTTAGCTGTCTATCAAAGGGATACTTCTGCCTCAGATCGCAGTAGCCCAACTGGGTGACGACGTCTTGCTTAGAACCACAGACCTGCAGCAGCCATTTCCTCAGGAGGAGAGGCTGCACTCTGGAAACCACAACTCGCACACCACACTGTCTACACCAACCCCTTATCCGGTAAGTATTGGTACCACTAGGAAAGCCAAGGTGCACAGCTTCTAGTTCCTATGGGTAAAGGAACATGTTACAATATCAAGGAGTTTTTAAAGACAGGAAATGACCTAAGAAGATGCTTTTTAAACAATATACTTATTCACATAATAGAAAGGGAAACACTTTTTAAGCTGGGATAAATGACTGTTGCGAAACATCCACATTAAAGTGATACTGCTTTGTGCTTTAATCCAATAGTTAATCAAAACTCCAATTAATCCTCGATTTCATCCACATCCACTCCTCTTCCCCATTTAAATGTGTGCTCTAATTATTATAAACTGAATACACACGCCCTATCTTAGCCAACTTATGTGCCTTTATATCTAGAGCAGAACCACGTAACCTAAAATAAGAGGTCTAACTATTGTATTCTTTAGCAGTGTTTTATTAAAAATAATTAACACGTACAAACATAAAATATATCCATGCAATTAAGAGTCCTGTATTTATTTTCTGCTGTAAGAAAAGTATGTTCCAAACTCATAGTTTCAGCAGCTGGTCCTACACACCTCAAAACCCAGTCCTGAGCTCAAGTTTGCTATCTGGTGTTCCTTCTTGTTCCTTGGTGTGTACCAAGGCAATGTATGAATTGTTAGGACACATTTATTCAAAGGTAAATTAATTCTTTAGAAGCAATAGCGTTACTGTGTCGCTTCCCCTCAAGGACTGTTGCTTATCATTATGTAACGCTAGCTGAAGTTTTCAGAAGGCACATTTAAGATTTTTGGGACACGGAAGTACTGTACTTGTCCGATGGCAACCACAGCTGCAGTAGAGGACAGAGAAGCCCAATGCCACAGGTGCCTGCCTACACAGCACAGCAGAGTGCTGCCCAGAGGCCCCGCACGGCACCTGCCCACGCTGCCCAGAACTGCGTCAAGAGGCCGGTTCAGAACGAAGCACCGCGTGCGAGATGAGCTCGAGGTGCGCTTCCGCAGTAACATCATGCTTCCTTGTCCGTCTTAGGTGAGATGATCAGATGCAAGTGAAAGCCTACCACCACTGGCTGCGTAGGCTGAATTACTACAGCTTTCGGAGAGCTGCTGCAGGAACTCCATTTTCAGTTGGTTTTGTAACTTTTTTTAATATGTATCAGTTTCTCTAAGGCTGCTGTTTTTCAGGCTGCAGTCTCCATTGAAAAATAAATAAATCTGCCATTAAGCAGGCATGTGTAATATAAAGCAAAGTTTACTCCCAACTCACCAAGGGACAGAAACACTGAAGATGATTGTGCACTGAAGAGCACTTTCCTTGAAAAAAACAGAAACTAAGCAAGCTGCTCACTTGCTCCCCAACTCTTTTCAGGTGTATTTCATCATGGGTATCAGAGGAAGGGCATGATTCTGTTTCTGTCAGTGAACAAATACTCAAACAATCCAACATGCATAAACAATCAGGTTAATGCGTGTACATATTTAGCTGAGCAGCGCTAATTGGACCCCAAGTTCTACAGGCTGTAGGGTTTACCTGACAACTTCACTATACGACTGCTCAAGCTTGCACATAGAGCAAGAAATCATTCTTTCTAAACGCGGAAGGGAAAACCAAACCAGAACCCAACGAGAGTCTTTAGAAAATACCTACAATGCCTTTCAGAGCGATGCAGAAATAGGACAACCAGCACGATTGTGTTCATCTCTGATTGATAAGTAAAAGTAGCACTCAAGGTAACAATACTGACCACCGACATCCAATGGTCACAGACCCCCGTGATAAAATGCACGTACCCTGTTTGGTTACTGCAACCAGATCCCTGTTATGAGAAGAAGCCAATTTCCCTCTTCAGAGAGCTGGCAGTGAGAGGGAATGTGAATCAGAGGGAATGCTGTATTTCGGCAGAGATATATAAAGATAAAATACCCACTTGCTGTATTTCTGTTGTTCCCAGCTTTTCAGTAAGCTAGGGGAGTCTGGGAGACAAACTGGAAAAATGAGGGGAGACAAAAAAAAAAAAAGTAGTTTAGCAGCAGCAGTCTGCTTGATTTTTTGGAACCAGCAATCCACTCTGCGTAGTCACTACTCTGGAGTGAAACAGTGCAGGCTAACTGTGGTTTAAAGCCAAGAGGCCTTCAAAAAGTAACAACTTTGGGTACTTTTGCTTTTGGGTTTTGCAGCTTTGGTGTTTCTGTAATTTCTTCATAATCTGCGCTCATCCCAATGGCCCATCGCCCAACCGTAACCTGATCTGTAGAGTGAGAGACAAGAGATCATGGAAAGGCTAAGCATTACCATTATACCAAACTTTCACATTTGAGGAGGATTTGGCGTGCAAAGGCCTGCCATTGATTCACCAAAGATCTATCAGTTCAGCTCTAGCTCTGTAGCCAACTCTCTTTACACAACTTTTTTTTTTTTAAATTGTGTTTTGTAAACTCCCCTTCTTCCCCCACGCAGATTGTCAAGGTTCAGAAATCATTACGACATCTTTTTTCCTATTTGACTGTCCAAAGAAAATTCAAAGAGTATGCAGACGATACATTAGCTCTCACCTAAGTCCAAATAACTCTTACGATGAAGATTTCAGAATATGTCAAGCATCTCTGGATATAAAGGAAAGACCTTCTCTATTATACAGATGAAAAAACTAAACCTGAGGAGGCACAACAGAGCAGAATTTATATTTTTCAGCTCACATCCCT